CATAGACAAAATAGACTGAACTGTAGAGGCAAGCCGGTGAAGCCAACCGTCAGCCAAACCTCGGCCCTGCCAGCCTCGCGCTCTCAGTCGCTGTTAGACATTCGCTGTGTCAACATTGTTACTGTTTTATTAAATATATTGTTTTCCTTTGTGCAATCATGGGACAGTGTATCGTTGACGATTGTAGTAGCAGATCTGATCGCAATAGTAATGAAATTTCATTCTTTAGGTAAGTAATAATATAAAAATATTTTATAACATTTCGACGGCGTCGCGCAGCATTCTCCATCTCACATGCACTTATTTCCAGTGTTGGCTTCATGTTTTTTAGTGCCCACGTTATTAACTGATGTAAATATACAGGCTCATATTATCAACCGGCTATTTACAATTAGTTATTTGTCACAATAGGTGTTTATTTTCATGATGGCTATTAAAAATAATTATTTTTATTTAAGTATATAAATATCAACATATAATTTCAATAATCAACATATATTAATGTTAAATGACAGGTGATTAGTTATTGAATTAAATTTTCCCATTTTCTTGTTTTTATTCTCAGGTTTCCTAAAGAGGGTGGAAATGAAATTTGATTAGGTCAAAGCCATTAAGAAAAAGGATTGGGTTCCCTCAAAATCGTCTGTAATATGTTCTTTACATTTACAGGGAAACCGAAGGCGATTGCTTAGCTCATTTTAGAACAAATGTTATGTCTAAAACGGCTCTTCGAGGCAGTTAAAATCCTTTCGGAAAGTGCGCGACTTTCTAACCATTACTTTTCCCGACCGCGGCAGCCTAGTTAGATGGCCTCCCTGGTCCCCGGACCTCACCCCGTTAGACTTCTTTTTGTGGGGATATGTGAAAAGTGTTGTGTATTCCATGGAAGTTCGTGATATCGACCAACTGCAACATCGTACTTGTAATAAGAATCGAGATGACGTAGCAATGTTGCAACGCGTGCGAGCTAATTGGATATTTCGCGCTGAAGCTTGTGTGCAAGCAAATGGTGGATACATCGAACATCTTCTATGAAAATCAGCAGTTGTCAAAAGGTGGCTCCTTGCAATGTGGCAAAAATATTTGACATAAGTTTATTAACATCCTGTATATACCGGGTGTCCCAATTAATGTAATTACATTTGAATAAAATTGATATGAATAGAGGTGTCAACTTCAATTGCCGCTGCAACATTTTTTTTTTAATTTTTGCTGTGTTCTAATGTATTAATGTATTATTACTATTTCTAAAAGCATTCACTTATATCATTCTACCTTAATTACTAACCCGTTACAATAATTTTACGAAATTAAATCTAATAAGCCCAAAAAAAATGTTGTGGTCAAAGTTAGTTGTCTTCAGCGATTCTAAATAATACATCCCAAATACAAAATCTTCCAAAATTTATTATCTGGTGTGGTGGTTTGGTAAAGAACGAGAAAGTGCGCGAAGTGTGGTCACAGAAGATAAAACAATCAGAATTATAAGTTGGCGTGGTGGGGGTATTCGCGCAGATCGGTGCACGTACCCCCCACTTTTGGTATGCGAACAAAGTGGCGTAGTTACAAAAGCATTTTAGCCATTTTATGAGCCTGTTTGTCTTTGTTATCCCGAGCGTTGAGCATTGGCGTCGATTTACGTGATTTATTTTGTTGTGGTGTAAATTAATGATTGTGTATATATAATTATTCTATAAGGTACTGTAAAATTGAGGACAAATTAAGTGTTAAGAAAATAAAGGACAATATAAAAACTATGAATTATCGTGTTGAAAGGAAATATGGCATTTCCTGATTTTGATTTACTTTTTTAAATGTTAGTTTACAACAATCGGAAACTTAAAATAAATTTAGTTTTTTTTTTTAGTTAATAAAATGTTTTACAATTTAACTGTTTAATGTGATTCGTAAGAAATTAAAATTATGGTCTTAAATGCAAATACTGTTGGTAGCTAAATGTCTTCAGTCCATTCAATGATAAAGTCCTCTTTCAATTTAATATTTTGTTATGCCGCTTATGTGAGCAAAAAAAAAATGCAACTTAATTTTTCTCGAAAATGGTACATGCTACCGAATGTCGACATGTATGCCTTTTTTTGCAGTATGCTTTAGAGTTTACAGAACCGTTTAGAAATGTAATAAATTTAGATTTTTAACATATTTTTTTGCAATTACCTGTTTCGGCGATACTGCTTTTCAGAAAGAAACCGTTTGCACTTTATTCTTAACGCACAGTTGATGTTTACTCGTGTACAAATTTTTACATTTTTATCTTTACCCTATTTAACCATTTGGAAAGTAACAATTTCAACACACTGTATCTCAAAAACAGAGCGTCTAAGACAAAAAAGTTACATGAACTACCTCCATTATTATACCAAGAGGAACTTGCACACAAGTTTTTTTGAAACATGAACGGGACACCCTATATATATATATATTTGTGTTCTGATTGATATATTTGTATATTATACAATAAATGTTTGTTTATGCAATTCTTTTCATTTTTCATTTTTTGCCTTGTACTTATAAATGTATGTTAATAAATATTGAATATGTAATTATTCAGTAGTTTGATCTTAACTATAAATATTTTTAACATTGAGTAATTTCATTAATAGACTGGTTTAACTTAAAAATAAAATAAATCTAAAATTCGCCTTTAAAAAACTTTTTCATGTAAATAACCGAGTCTTTTGCATAATTAACCTCATTTTCTGCTGCACATAAATTCCTGGCTTTTTTGTTAGTACATTAGTAGTTTAACGCAATAAAATTTCACTGAATACAATCCTGACTTTGTATACCTAAAGTGGGGGATTTACGTCATTCAAGGTCCCTGAAAACAGACATCAGTGATCAAAGGTGCCGACAACGTGATATAATTCTGGTTGTTTTATCTTCTGTGGTGTGGTGCCGATAGTGGGGGAAGGAACCCGGCACGCGCGAGAGGTGTCGAGAGGAGAGTCGTCACTGGGACAGACAACGAGCAAGTGTTAACTGTCCTGTTCTAGGATTCGTATATATGTAACCATTGCTATATGTTGTATGTTGATAATATACGATTAATAAAAGTTTACAGGTGGGTACAAACTAGAAAGCACATTCGGCGAGTCAAAGCGAGAACGCATGCATATTTTAGTGTGGACCGTTGATTCGCAGCTTCTCATCGCATACGTGGCTGCTCGTGAAAGGTTGCGAACGAGAATGAAGCGAGCCGAAATCTGTCAACTTTTGAGCACCGCTCAAAGGGAATTATGCGTCGCAAGTTCACGCATGCGTTCTCAGTGTGGACGATACTAGGACACTAGTATACATTTACGTTCGACTGAGGTGAGTCGTTATTATATGTGTGCAATATGTCTGAATCACAGGAATGGTCAAATGAGCAATGTTTACAGTTAATAGATTATTATGAAGAATACTGTTTGTTATGGGATCCTAAACACCCGTCTTATTATTCAAACTAAAAAATCCGAGGCCTGGGACGCTATAGCAGAGAAAATGCGAATGGACATAAAAACTGTACGGCAAAAAATGTTAGGTTTATAATTAATTTGTTTATAACAAAAAAGACAGCTTGCGTTATAACAACTACTTCATCTGAAGACGTCTTTAGAACGAATGAATGGAGCACAGTGAGAAACGCATGCGTTTGAGGAAAAGTTTCACCATAATCATTGAAGAGCGAGAACGCACGCATATGCGTGTGGTCTCGCTTTGACTCTTCGCATGTGCTTTCTAGTTTGTACCCACCTTACGGTGTGTTAATAATTAGTTGAGATACCCAGGCGGGGTCCCAACTGCACTGGGATGCAGATATAAATTTATTTCATTCCAGATGTGCGTTTGATATCTCAAACAATTAAATTAAAATCTTAAAT